AACTATTATAATTTCTAAATGTGGTATGTTTATAATGATAATACATATTATTCTAAGTAATGGGATGCTACTAAAAGGAGAAAGCAAATTATTGTTTGTCATAACCAAAATGAAATGAAATTCATCAATGATTGCAAAAAATTGAATTTGTTATTCGGGTTAATACAATTTAATAAACCATACACATTGCTCTACTTTATATCATTCTGTTTCTGGTCAATAATTTTATAATTGAATATTAAGCTTTTATATTTACAGCATAATATTCCAATTCGATATGGACTAAAATAATTGCTTATTTTATATATTTGGATGCTGAATTTGCCTTCGTTTCTACAATTATATAAATTATTGTTTTCATATTGCTTTCCTTATATCATTGAATATGCTTTTGAATACCGATTTTTTAAGTCTTCCTGTATTTTCTTTTATTGGTTTTGGATTTCTCGCCACAATTGTAATTTTAAAGAATTTTAAAAGGATCATTGATAAAGGTGTTTCTTCACAATCACAATTATCTTTTGGCATTTCTTCTGAGTTTAGTCTATATTATGGTTTATTTAACTGGAGATTTATATTTGTCATGATGAAGAGTGATACTATGGTATAAATTTACGGGTTCTTTCTGAATATGCTTTAAATTTTAATTTGTTTAGGTGCATTAACTTTGTAATATATTTTTTTACTTATTTTTAGGCACTACCATTTTATTCAAGGAATCTTCTCAAATGAGAGATTAGTATTGCATTACTATAATAAAGCCCATTTTCAAAAAAATACAAAATTAAATAAAAAATAAATAAAAACTATTCTAATCTTGTGAATAGTTTTAAAGGCTATTCTAAACTTGTGAATAGTTTTAAAGGCTTTTTTTTATTTTTACAAATTCCATAATTCTATATTGTGCTAGCAATTGAAGAGCAATAATACATCATTTTTTCTTAATCTTATTATCACTATTTCTCACAATTTATCCAAGCAAACATTATTTAAAATAGTAATTTCAATGAATATGAATACAAAATATAAAAATTATTAATTCTTTGTATCATATTAAATATATTTTATATTAAAGTAAAATAAACTAATTAAGTTCTCTATAGCGAAATCTTGCTTACTAAAAAATTACAGGAAATGTAAAGTCACGGATCTATATGATAATTCCAATCAATAACACTAATTTATAAATAATGAAACCATTATTTTATTATTATGCTAAATGCTGTATATTGAAGAGTTTTTACTAGTTATTTGGATGTTGATACAGTACTTGGGTTAAAAATGAAATGTAACGGTAAGATTATTTAAGCTTCAATCGTAACTTCTTTTGCTAAAATATTTCTGTGATTCTTTAGGGTGTTATATGATTTAGCAGACTTACGGGTCTGTAAAATTATGTGAGCTTGATTTTACTCAGGAGATTTTTAATATTTTAGCCAATTAAATTATTCAAATGCAAAATCATTTATATTTAAAATTTGAATAAAAAAAAAGCTCATTATTTTTTATTGTATGACTTAAAAAAAAAAAATGATTAAATTAAATTAAAATTAAAGTTTTATATAAAAATTCAGAATCGCTTCCACACTTACAACATATATAAAAAAAAACCCTTCATTTATAGTTTGCAACCCTAATATCATAAGAACCTTGATTTCATGATTAAAAAAATCGCAGTTCTTATTATATTCTATCAAAGAAGGCATCGAAAAACTAAAGATTTAAAAAAATTCAGACGAATTCCAGACAATTGTACAAACAGTATAAACTCGTGTAATATTATTATATAGGAACCATTTAAGAACCTTATTTTTGTTATTAGCAAAATTATTTAAATTGATTAACAATTTTTATTTAATTTTTCACAAAAATCATCTAGAGATGAGGCTAACAATACAAAAAAAGATGATTCTAAATTGTCGCATTAATAATTCATGAAGAAAAAAAATTTTTTAATGATTCACGGGGTATGAAATCTGAATTTTTAATTTTAAGACTCATTACTATAGGTGTTATTTACGGTAGAATGTTAAGTCAATTCAGTTATATCACATAACTACAAATATAAATAAGTCAATTATAAATTTATTTTATTTTTATTTGATTGTATTTTAAAAAAAATAATTTTAGTCACGTTTATCATTTGGAGACAATATATAGAGTTCTGGACAAGAATAGTCCAATATATTCACACCTCTTAAATTCTGTTTTTAGAAGAGTATTTGTCTATCTTAAAATATTATACACTTACCATGAATAGATGGCTGACCGACAAATATTAGCTCATTGGATTTTAATTTGACACTCAGAGTCAGATATTTAACATATATAAATAATATAAATGACAAATTCAAATTTGTTACATTATTTATATATGCCAAATCCTGTCTCGGGGTGTCAAATTAAAACCCCGTTAGCCAATATTTGTCAGCATATACATATTAATTTATACGGTAGTAAATTTTCTTTAATCTTTGTATCAAAGAAAAAGTTAAACTAATAACTTGCTATTATTAGTCTCATCATGAAATGCGACAAGTAAGATTCGCGTATTGTAAGTCCCATCACTAAATGTAAGTGTCTCTAAAAGTACTTTATTTAATGTCTTTAAAAGTCAGCAATATCAAATGATTTAGAGTCCGTGAGATCATATGATCACAAATTAAACCAATTCTAAAGCTTTTCTTGATAGTACTACATTATAAATATCCGCTTATTTTGGGCAGCGAAAAAAATCAAGCACTGCTGATTATATTGTTCCCGAGTGCGTGAAAACCTGGAAGCGAATATTTGTCCCTTAAAAAGTTATGATTGGTATTACTTAAATTAAGCAAATCACCAATCATAATTTTTTAGGGGCCAAATATTCACCTCCAGGTTTTCACTCACACACTCAATTCATTTCGGTATTAATCTTGTGATAATAGCCCTTATGTAACAATTGTCGCAATGGCTTAATCAAGTCAACCTATGATCTCACAAACTTATCATAGTTTGTACCAACGAGTCTTCTGTATTACAAATTGACTATTGTTTCAGCTGTGTGTCAGAGCCAATGGATTTTGTTAGTAGCAAAAATAGCAATAGCGATATCACAACACCAAATACGATAGAATTTAAATAAAATAAATTTGATCAGATTTGGTTATGTGGTTGTCATGATATCGCTATTGCTATTTTTGCTACTATTAAAATCCACCGGCTCTGCTGTGTGTGTACTACATCTATTTTAGGTATAACTTTTTTGTCATGCTACTTTATGGCATTCGTTTATCGTTAAATTAACCCAATGCTTTTAAATGCATATATTAATTAATAACTTTCTTTTTTTGGCTATATTTTTTTGGATTTGTGTTCATGAGAGTGATATTGTAAAGTATGATGTTGAAAAATAGCAGATCATTACTAGAAGATTTTGAACGAAAAATTTTATGTAAGAGCCAAGTTAATTTCTAAAATTTTGTTTTTCACCATACCAAGTTACTAAGATATTAGCATTTACAAATTCACAATAAAAGTTTGTCTTTTATTATGGAATTGGCTAAAGAACTAGAATGATAACATCCTAATTTGCTGCAATCTTAGTTTATATTAGTTATTTATAAAGTTAAAGTTAATATCATTCATAGAAAAAGGAGGTATAAAATATATTTGTTTTATTTCTGTAGAAGGCTAATGTTATTAATTATTTGAAATGTAGTATGAAAAATTAAAAGATCAAAATCAACTGAAATGTCAAATTTTTTGAAAGATAATAAAATAAACCAACATAAATTGTTAATTTATGATTTTTATGTAAATTTAAAAAAAGCCTGTAATATAAAAAAATATATATATAAGAAGGGCCTTGAAAAATTATTAGACAATAATACCAGAAAATCAAATTTATATTAATCAAGAATGATATTCCTCTTTTTTTTTTTGGATGTTATTATTGATTGTTGTAGTTTCTGTATTAGTTAAATATGACTAGCTCTTAGGACCCGGTATTGCCCGGGTTCTAATGTTTTTCTAATTCTTAGGTTTTTAATTATATTAGCTCTTAGGACTATGCATTGCCTGAGTTCGAAGTTCTAATGTTTTTCTAATTCTTAGATTTTTAATTATATTAGCTCTTAGGACCTGGCATTGCCCAGGTTCGAGGTTGTAATGTTTTCTAATTCTTAGGTTTTTAATTATATTAGCTTTTAGAACCCGGCATTGCCCTGGTTTGAAAAATTAGATTTTAGAACCTGGGCATTGCCCAGGTTCTAAAATCTAATTTTTTCTAATTCTTAAATATTTTATTATATTTTTACAATATAATATATAGGAATATTATTATAAATTTGGCCCGAATTAGGTTTAATTTAGGCCAAATTTTAAAATTATATTTTATATATAATTTTGTAAAAATATAATATTATATTTAAAATAACTTTTAAATAAAAAATAAACTTGTTTTAGAATCTATCTTAGATACTAAATAGATTTATCTTAGATACTAAATAGACTTATCTTAGATACCAAATGGATCTACCTTAGGTACCAAATAGACCTACTTTAGGTACCAAATAGATCTACTTTAGGTACCAAATAGACCTACTTTAGATACCAAGTAGACCTACCTAAGTGCGAATTAAACTTATCTTAGATACTAAATAAACTTATTTTAGATATCAAATAAACCTATTTTAGGTACCAAATGGACCTATTTTAGGTACTAAATGAACCTATCTTAGGTATCAAATAGACCTACTTTAGATATGAGTGTCACCAAAAGAAAACCCAACAATCTAAAAATAGACATTATGAATTTCATAATGTCTATTTTTAGATTGTCAGGTTTTCTTTTGACGACACTCATATTATATAGACCTACTTTAGTACTACTTAGACTTATCTTAAGTACCAAATGGACCTACTTTAGATACCAAATGGACCTACCTTAGGTACCAAATGAACCTATCTTAGGTACAAAATGGATTTATGCATAAAATATGAGGTCATATAACAGAAGTAATTTGTAGTTAGTATTAGTAAGCGCAATTGTAAAGCTTTAACAATAGTATATAAGATCAATACAAACCTTTGTATAAGTCGGTCTGTTCAATTTAAATAAAATTCTCTTGCTTCCGAATCGATCTTGACCCGTCTGTTACAATTAGAGTTTGGCAGAATTAAACAAAAATATAAATTTAGGCAGAATTAGAATGTAAATTTTGGACAGAATTACTACGAAACTACCTTTCTGTATATGAATTTTAGTTCATTATCCGACGGCGACCAGAGGCGATCGGAAAATGAACTGAGTTCAATTATTTTAAGGATTACAAAAAAATTGGTCATAATTTTGGCTGAATTTTGATGCTCATAGGCCAAAATTTAATATCGGCTGAATTAAACAATTAACACAATTATACTGTTAAACTCTTATCAACTAATGTAGCTTTTAACTCTAGCAGACATAACTTTGATTAACTTAATTTTGATAAACAACTTTGGTAGAATTGATTTGTAACACTGGTAAATAAACCTTATTTTCTACTCTAATTTTTTAGAATAAATGAATCAATATTTTAAATGAGATGTGATCCGAGAACAATAACTAGTAATGAAGATTAAATTTCAATTTTAATTTTAATTTCAAATTTTTTGATTGAAATAGTTCTATAAAACAAGTAATTATTGTTTGATGAAGATATTCTTAATTATGCAGGTGAATGCGTTAATGGATGTTTTTTGTAAAAATTATATTTTCAACTTCTTTAAATCTTTAAATGTATTATTTACGGATTCAGTAATGAGGAAGGATGTAATAAATTAATAATTCAAAAGTCAAAGTTGGGATATGATTAATTTGCATAATCAATGTAATCATAGTTTCATAGTTTATTTAAATAATTGCATTAACAATATATTCATAGTTTAATAATAATTTGAGTAATCAATTGAGTGATTAGTAAAAGGTTAGTATAAATAATCTAAAGATAATTGATATAGGTGGATTCTTTCTAGATAAAAAGGGGGGACCACAATTAATAAACAAAATGACTCTTTTATTGCAATCTATCGCCGGCACATTATTAATAAACGAATGAATGCATGTAATCAGAGCAATAGCTTTATAAATAAACATACGTGTTCCTTGATGCCCGGAAAGCAAAGCTCTAACCCATCGGTCTATATATTTAAAGGGAAAACCCACCTCTAATTAACCATGTGACAATAGAAATAGGGATCTTAATGATAATACTATACGGTATTATTTTTTAAGATTTCTATAAAAAATATCGATACTGGTTTAACGTAAATTATGGATACTCCTTAAATATATTTTGATAAAATAAAAATTTTATAATTGTTCAATCTTTTAACAGTAATATCTATTAGATATAAATTGCATATTTTTTTAGCATGATTACTTAACTGAGTAGGAATCAGTTTCTACATCTTCATTTCTGATTTATGCAAGTTTTTACAATTTAAGCTAAATACCACATGATATTAACCCAAATTACCTGCTGATTAATTTCTATGAATTTTAATTTGAAGTATCTTTTGAAAAGTTAATATAGTATTTAAATATACACAATAATAATCTAAAAAATAAATTATATCGATAAGACTTACGCCATCATCGTGCTTTACAAAATGAAACACAACCCGTTCCATCGCACCAAAGTAAAAACTAAATTGATTATAAATGACTATAAAGTACCTGTATATATAACAAGAAAAAAAAAAGTTAAATGTAACAGTACAAACCTACAAACCTACAAAGCAATGATGATATGATTGATCCTTGTGGAATGCCTTTATGTTGTCTATAAGACTTATTCCCAATCTATAAATAAGCATAGCATATTATTATATTAAGCAACAGAAAATTACATGATAAAATAAAAAATTCAGACCTCTACTTTTACTAAATTATACTTTATATAGTTTTTCAAAAGTTCAATTATATATTTTCCCTCTATATATGATTCTTTAATGTTATCAACAAAAACCAAACTTAATAGAGTTATAGGCCTTACTTATGTTCTGAGAAAGAACCTATATGTCTTGGTAGTTGCAGTTTGCATTTTTAATCAGGTTGTTGAGAATGTGAATTGGAGTTGATATACTGTTGTCTGGTAAGGCAACATAGTTATAAGAAGATAGAATAGAGTATCACATAAAGACTTTGCTAAGTCTATTTGTAATAATTTTGGTATAGATTTTATAAGTGTGTTCAATAAGGCTAATTGGGCATGTAAGGTTAAAGTTGCTATCAAAGGTATTGTTTTTGGAGATAGGAAAAATTCTTCTCTGTTTCTATTGCTTTGGTATGTAGTTATGAGTTAGACAGTAATTAATACCAGAAATTATCAAAGAGAGATTGGGTAATAGGTCTGAAGGCTGTCTAGTTAAAGAAGTAAGATTGTATATATTGTTTGATTTGGGTGGGATTAGTAATGAGTTGGTTTGGCAGTTTGATGTTGGTAAAGTAAATAGAAGGTTTGTAATGATCTAGTATACTGTTTATAGCTTGTTTAGGCTTAGAAATTAGGGTTTCACACCTTTTCTCAGATGCCTTATTAATTTGATATTTAAGCTGAAGAGAATGTTTAAGATGGTATGTATATGTATATTGTAACTATATATAAACTGAAGAGTTATCCAAGGAGTTAAGGGTTTGCAGGTTGCTATAAGTGTAAAAGTTAATAAAAAGAATATGAAAGTTGATGTGGGGTAGATACTTGTTTGATGAGTTAAAGATGATAATTTCGATTAAGTGTTCTAGTTTTTTAAGGCCAATATGAAGATTATATGTTTTCACAATTGAGTCTACACATAATGCGGAGTATAGTTTATTTGTCAATCATGCACAGTTCTATTATACGTGCCGATTGCGTACTTGGTACGTATTTATGACGTATGTACGTACATAAGAGTTATTATTATTATTGTTATTAAAATCATATGATGTATGACGGATAAAGCAAGGGCATAGTGCAAATTTCAATCTTATACTATTGTTATCGATATGGTTTGAAAATGAAAAAGATGAAAAAAGTACAACTTTTGGTGCTTTTTTGTTTTTTAATTTCAATCGGTTTCTTAGCGACCAAAATTTTAGAATTATAGCATAGTTAGAGTGTTGAAAACTTATTATCTGCTCTTTAAATTTTTTTTTTCTAAAGAAAAATTCAATTATTAAGCATGAATATAATTGATAATTTTTTTGATTAAGTTAAAATCTGTAATGCAAACATATATATAAGCATCGTATATAATAAATAAATATGTTTTACTTTTTAATCGTTTTATCTATTAATTTTTTGTTAAAGACAGAAAATAAGTAAATATCTAAATTATTTGATTTTTAATTATCTCATATATTTTATTAAAATACTTTTTAAATTGAATTTCAAAAGATTAATATGATTATTGAAATACATTCTGATGATAATAATTCAAACCTTAAAGAGAAATTTGATAAAGCTTCAGTAATCGATTTAGTATCAGATACTGAAAGTTTGAACGATAATAATTCCAAAGTTAGTAAATTTATAAATTTAATAAGTTTTAATTTATATAGACATCACTTAAATTTCATTATTGAATTTATAAAATTTTATGTTTTAGAATGAAATTGAGAATAATATTTATAATGAAATTAGAGATATAGAAGATGCTAATTATAATGAAATTGGAAATGTTAATTATAATGAACTTGAAGGTCCTAATTATAACAATATCGAAGATATTGATTATAATGATATTGAAGATATTGACTATAATGATATTAAAGATACCGATTATAATAATATTGAAGATGCCAATTATAGTGATATTGAAGATACCAGTGATAATGAAATTAATAAAATTTATTCAATAACAGAAAATTTAAGAGTAAAAGAAATCCGGCATACAATTTTTCCTATGGAATATCTACCTACATCTCCTGAAGGTATTGCTATTTGTTATAATATAGAAAATTGGGAATCATATGAGGCTGTATTTGAAAATGTAAGCAATTTATTTAATTTATTATAAGATTAAAATTTATATTTTATACATAATAACATTTATTTTAAGATGCAATATATGACCGGAAAACCAATAGGTGGTGGAGAAAAGCCAATTTGGAGTCCTTATTTATACTGTAGTGTAAAAAAATATTATAGAACATGTACCAGTGTAAAACATTGTATGTTTTTGGATAATTTAATTAAAAATTCAAATCATACTGAAGTTGATATGAGCAAAGATCTTATTCAAGAAAATGATGAAAGCTTACTTTTGCAAAAAACTAAAGAAGCTAAAACATATACTTAAGTTAATATAATTTTAAATATATAAAACTATAATATATTTAATTAATTCAATTATTTATTAATTATTTATAGAAAATTTCTTGCAATGAAAGAAATTAAATGTCCTTATAATGAACAAAAGTGTTATGGTAATTTTGTAGTACAAAACGATCGAAAAATACTACAAATATACCTGATGAATAGTTTATTGGCTGTAGCCACTGGTGAGAAAAAGGAAAAGGAAAACATTTTTTTTAACCATTAAAAAAAGATATTGATCCAATTTTACTTAATAAATTGTTTAAAAATGAACCGGTATTATAATTTATATTTTTAATTTTATTAATTTATATTATATTTATTATTATTAATTAATAAAATTTATTTTAGATCAATTTAATAAATAATACAACATCCTGTTCAGTTATTCTTTCTACGAAATCACATAATAACAAATGTGGTAAATATTTTATATATTACTATTTATTTAAATATATATTACATAAAAATTTATTAATTTTATTTAAATATTCAGGTTTTTTACACAAAAGTTTAAATAATATAGAAGAAGGAAAAATTATTAAAAAAGATTGTGATATTATATTTTATAAGCTTATCCCTTGTGATTTAAAAAATACACCATATGTTATATTGGTTTGTAAAGGTATTCACAAGCATCCACCACCACCTCCTGAAAGAGTTCCAAAAGAAATTATGCATAAATTAAAAACTATGATTGAAATAGCAAATAATGATTTAATAGATATTTCTCCAAGAAAATTAATATCTAGTAAGAAATATTTAAATACAATAATATATATTTAATAATTAAATTAAATTAATTAATAATATATATATATATTATAGGTAATCTTATTAAAGCTACTTTTGGAACTAATTATCTCTCAGAAATTCATGTGTCACTTAATAATATAGACAAATTAAAGCAATTGGTTTCTAAAGTTCAAAAAGAACATAATCCTTATGGACAAAGTATTCTTGGTTTAACTTATAATATATGGAAAGAAAAAAAAGAATATGACGATTATGTTCAACAAGCAGGTAAATAAATTATACTATTTATTTTAAATTTTATATAATTATAATAACAATTTTAATATTTATATAGGAGTATTTGCTGATAGACAAATTATGGTGATTTGTATTTCTAAATTACAAGCTGAAACTTGGAAATCACTTGAATATTTCGAAATCGATGTAGTATTTAAATGTGTTCAAAGAAACATCAATGAACTAGAAATAAATTCTTATAATGAATATTATAAAATTGGTAAATATATTATATATATATATATATTTATATAAAATTCTATTATTTTTAATTTATAATTTATTAATTATTTAGCATTAACATATGCACGTGTATTTACAAATATTACAAATTTTATAACGTATGAACGAATGTTTAATGCATTATTTGATTGGATTTATCAATTAACTAATTCTTATCCAAAAATTTTTCATATTGATGGAATTGGATGGAAATATATTCTCAGAGATTTAGATCAAGCTCAGGCTAAAGGTTTAGGACTTGCACTTAATAAACTTTATCCAAATCTTACCTGGGAAGAACATTTGCTTAATATTTTAAAAGTTGTAGAGTTCACTATAATAGGTAATAAATTTATTAAAATTATTTAACTAGAATTTAATTATATTAATTTTATAAATTTGTATTATTTTAATTTTAGAAATATTAAAAATAATGTATATCCAAATCATATTAAACAATTAATGTATGAATATCCAAATGTTGATACAATTGAAAGAGTTGAAGAAATTATTCAAGCATTAAAAGAATCTAATGAACCAAATATTAATGGTTAATATTAATTTATTTATATATAGTAATATATACAAAATTATTATATAATTTAATTTTTTAATTTTTGAATATTTTTAGATTGGATTACATTTTATTCAATTCCTTGGATACGTGGTTCATTAAATTATTTATATTCTTTCATTAGTGATGATATTTGGTATAAAGCCCCAGATAATACAAATGTTGCTGAGGCTTGTCATTCAAATGTAAATCGGGATGGTAAATCTTTATCACTAGAAAATGCAATCTTAATGTAAGTAAATTAAATTTTTATATTTTATTATTACTATATAAATTAATTAAAATTATTACTTTAATTAGAGCTAAACAATATGACAATCAAAATTTTATTGCATACAATATTCAAAAAAAATATGGAGTTCGAAAAACTGAAAAAAATCTTGGAGTAGTAGCATGTGAAAAACAAGCTATTCGCAGATCAAGTAAATTTTATTTTTTTATTAAATAATAATCTAATACTAAATATTAAATTAAATATTATTTATTTTTTTGTAGCAAAAAAAAAAACCAATTCTGTTAATAAAGCTGAATCATCTACTAAATCAAGACAAACAAAAAAAATTAAAAAAATTGAAAATTCTCAAGATTTAACAGATGCATTGGCCAAATTTGATTTAGAAAAAGAAAAAAAAGTTCTTTTTTTAAAAGAAAAAAAAATAGAATTAGAAGAACAGGAGTTGAAACTTGAAAAAGAAAAATTAGAAATTCTTAAACTTAAACGAGAATTAGGTCTTAAAGTATAATACTTGTAAACATATAGCTAATTAATAAAAAATGCGATATTGAATATTATAAAATAAAAATCTTCAATTTTTATTATTAAATAAAAAATTTTTTGCATTATATATATAATACACAATATCAAATAAATATTTAATTTAATATAAAATAATATATTAGTTTATAGCAATAAAAAAATGTGAATTTGAATTTGTTAACTAATTTATAGTATCTTTATACTCTGCTTAAATAACCGCTACAACTATTCACTTAGAATAATATTATGTTAACTTTGAATCTATATTCACTTACTGCCAAAAAATGGCCTGGAATATTTTGAGTAAAGGTAAAATGAAATGCTTTTAATAAATTTATTATTTAAAAAGTGTGGAATCAGATATATAACTTAATGGTTAAGTTCTAATATACATGCATATTTATACGTATGTACATAGTATGTTTTGAGAATCAAACAAATTATATAAGATAATACAATGTGAGTAAAAGCGATTTGTAGTAAGAAAGCATAGATTAAATAATAAAGATATAAAAATATTTATTGCTGCATATTGTTAAAAAATAAAAATTTCACTAATTTTTATCGTTATTAGATTCCTGGTTCATTATAATCTGGTTATGGGCTTTTCAGAGACCGATCTGTCATTATAAATTAGTTATAATTAGTTGTTACATGTATTTAATTGATTTTTTTAATAAATTGTATTATGTTATAATTTATTAATATTATAGTTAATTAATATTTAAGTAAACAATCGTATTTAATCATATTCAATCATATTCAACTCAGAAAAGCTCAGAATTATTTGTGTACTCAACAAAAATTATTAACATAATCAACTCAGCAAATTGTGTAGACTCTATTGTAAATCAGATAACCCCAATATGAAGAGTGGTATATACTTGTGATTGTAACTATGCTTGTGGGTTAGTTTATTGAGAAGAGTTTGAATAGCAGCATGCAGAATATAGTATTGTATTTTGTGCCAAGTGGTGTCGATGCTCTCAGATATATGAATATGTGAAGGAACATGTTGCTGAGTAAAGAGGTTGTAAACAAGGTTAGAGAATTAGGTTCATTGGTCTGGGGAGGTTGATTTATAGTTAAAAATTCTGCAACTGATATTAGTATGAAAGTGAGAAGGTTTGCTAAAAGCATAAAGAAATATCCAAGAAGCTGTAAGGATTAGATGATCACTAAGGGTGCTAGTTTTGTTGTTGTAAAGATGGAAGTTAAAAAGGAATTGTAGATTAAATAAGTTTGTCCAAATATAGTCAATGTGGCTGGAGCTGGTGTTGTTAAACCAAGTATGGTTAGAGTTATTAAGGTGGGTGTCAATATCAAACATATTTAAGTGGTAAAAAAAGTTAATAAGTTTGTATTTGGCAAAAGAACTACTGGTATTATTATGAGTGTTAAAGTCGCCAAGAATTATGGGATGCAGGTTTTGTTGTTTAGCTTGAAGGATCCAATTAATAACAGTGTTTTGAGTGAGATTTCTTCTTGTAGGATCAGTAGATAAGAGGTAAACAGATATAATATGCAGTTTAATATTGCTTTTAAAGAAAAAATCAAGTGTAAGAGCATCTTCAGGGTGTGTATAGTAGCTATAAACATGAGGTTTGAGATAGTTCTGGATTAAAATAGTGGTTTTTTTACTAGAACTTGTAGAGTTAGACTAGTAATAGATATTGAAGTTGTTATTACAGAAGAAAAGTTTGGTTTTATGAAAGATCTTGGTTTCTGTAAGAGAGGTGATAAAGATGTTGTGGTTAATACAATAGTCTTGCCAGATTTGTCTCTTGAAGGCTATATTAAAGCCTCTGATGTTGTAGGTTGCTATATTAA